GTCAGACAGGATAGGAGCTAGCTAGAAGGCTCAGAAGTTAAGAGCACCGGATGCTCTTGCAGAGGACCCAAGTTTGGTTCCCAGACCCACACCGTATCTCACAACCATTTGTGACTCAGTTCCATGTGATCCACTGCCCTCCTCTGGCTTCTGAGGGCACTGGGCATGCATGTCATGCCCATGCAGGCAAAACACTCATACACATAAAAATAAATAAATAAACCTTTTTTGTTTGCTTTTAAAGTGAATTGTGACAGTATACACCTGTAACCCAGCATGAGACAATGAGACAGGTGCATCCTTAGGGGTCCCAAAAGCTACCCTAGCCAAATCAGCTGGGTCCAGACCTGTGAGAGTCCACATCAGAAAACATGGTGAATAGCAACTGAGGGACAACGCCCAAGGTTGACCTGTGGCTCACACACACACACACACACACATACACACACACACACACACACAAAGAGAGAGAGAGAGAGAGAGAGAGAGAGAGAGAGAGATGATACTCCTACACATACACAAAGTGCACAAAAAATAAAAATAGTAAATAAATAAGTAGATATAGATGGCATATGAGATGTAAGCTGGGGTTAAGCCAGTGCATAGAACATGAGCTATTTTGAGGTGCTGTGTTCACAGTTAAAATATGGTGAGAAGACAGAACAAAGTCCTCAACTGTCTTTGTAATGTTTCTTAGGTGCTTGCCTCTATGAATATGGGGAAGGCAGAGAAATGCTACATCCAACCTGTGGTACAAGTATTTTAAAGTGGAAACCTTATTTGTATGATATGACAAAGCTAGTAAGAAAGTTAGGATTCCCCATGCTAAGAAATGCAGCCAATAACAAATGAATCCCTGGGCTGTACCCCCAAAAAGCAAATGTAAAACCATTTCAAAGTTAACACTCTACAAATGACCATGCATGCATAGGCAGAAAACCAAACCAAAACAGAGTGAAAAAGCAGAAGTCCCTGAAGATAGTCTTAAAATTTATAAAAAATAAATAAATCAATATTTTTAAATGAGAGAAAAAGATATACTGTACTTGAGCACTGACAGATATGCCCAACAAACTAATATCCACCTGACTTTTTAATGTGAAGATTCACAAAGGAATGAACTGCTAAAGGTATGGAAGAAGAAAGATATAAAGAATAGTAAGCAGGCATGTATAAAAAAAACTGTAAAGGTGGGGTTTATTTACAGAACAGGATTTGTTTGCATAAAGAACAGAACATTTTGCACATAAAGCACCTAGTTTTATCGGGTTTGAGTGATATAAAATTGTATTTCTGCAGACAGAGCTTTGAAAACAGCCATCAAAGCCACAGTTGAGCTATCTGGTCGACCTGATGCACTCCACGCTTTTCCTCCCACCATCTCCCAGTTCCTGTCCACTCTGCTCTCTGTTGCCTAGTTCCTACAAATTATGGTTCAGCCCAAGGCCTTTTTTAATTTTTTTTTTGAACTATTCTTGCAAAAAAGAAATGAAGTGGAAACTGAGAAGTCTCTAGGGTTCCTATTTAGGAAAGGACTTATTCCCCAGAAGCTGCATGCTGCCTACGTATAGCCACAGCCTGCAGCCTGCAGCCACATATAGCTTGCAGCCTTGGCTTGCAGCAGCCTCACCCAATATCTTGTGTTCTTCTCCTTCCTGGGGATGGCTTGTCAGACATTGAGACAGGTTGTCAATGTGGGATATGAAGACATGGTCCCTTCTCCTGAATGAGGCATGGCAAAGAACCGTCCCAGCTCTGTAGGCCCAACGGGGTGGGATCTGAGGGTCACTACACAGCAGTGCAATTGCCCCCTCTGCCCTGTACCATGTTCTTCCTTCTTTTCCACAGCACTGATCCCAAGGGCCCTTCCGGATAAACTTTCCACACATTCATATCCATTTCAAAGTCTGTCCTGGTGAGCATAGCCACAACAGAGGGCTGCAGGGACAATAACTCAAATGCAGGGAGCCTTGAGGGCAATGTGGAGAGACACAGAAAGCACCACCACTGTCCCTTTGGGGAGGACACTTAAGCTATGTTAAGCTTCATAACAGAAGGCCTCCGAAATGAACGATGTGCCCAGAATGGTCCACAGAACTAAAAATCAAGAACTAAAAGTCCCAACCCAACATCTCAAAGCATCAGCATCCTTAAGATTCTGAAGGAGATCTGAGATGTTACCCCAATTCCCACCTGCCATTCTCAAAATGTCTCTCTCACGGGCCCTTCGGTTTGTCAAATGCCCAAAAGAAACTGAATTGCAAGTTAAGTGGCTCAGTGGTCAAGAGTGTTTGCTGCTCTCAGAGAGTTGCTCTTGCAAAGGGACCTGAGTCCAGTTCCCAGAGCCCACATCAGGCCACTCACAGCTGCCTGTAACTCCCACTCCAGTGGATCTAGCACCTTGTGGTCTTCACAGGACCCTACACACAAGCACACATACACAAAGACACAGAAACATACACATAAAAAATACAAATATTTAAAGAAATGTTTCCAACTATAAACGGGCGGATTTCTAATAATAACTTATGATCAATCCACTGCTGTTACAGTGATAGAAGGCTGATACACTTTTCTGCCTCTGAGTTGACAGGAAGTGGTGAGTGGTGACTTAGTGAAGGGGGGATGAGAGCTGTATATGGCTGTCATTGTCCTGAACACTAATAAAAAACACAGAGGTAGAGACCATGGGTAACCGCGCCTCTGCATATTCAGAAGACTAATGGAGGCAACGGAACAAGTCTCATGGGTAGACAAGACTCATGGGTAGACAAGACTGTTTGACAGAAGTCATTGCATGCAATAGTACTTACTTGGAAGGGCACAGGCTGGTTACTGAGGGTTTCTCTTCCTCCTAGACAGTACTGGGAGCTGAATACATGCACCTTTACTGGTAACCATGCCTACCTCCTCCTCTGCAACCATATAATAGAGCCACACAAGACAGGCTACCGTAGGGCCTGACAACTGAGACCATCACATCCAAAATGGCCGGAGGCCAATTACAACGGAGGTTAGAAGGCCAAGCAGAATGGATGGACAATACCACCACACTGGTCTTCAGAAGTGTGAGCACAGTCTCCCTTTCCACCCCTGGGGGTTCGTTCGGTCCTAGTTAATCACCTGTCTCTCACCATTTCTTCCCCTCACCTTCACTACCCACTTTGCCTTCTCTAAGCCAACCTGTGGGGCCTGTCAGGTGTCCCAGTGGTAAAAGTGTTTGCTGCCAAGCCCGACTGCCTTAATTTAAATCCCCAGAACTGACACGGCAGAAAGAGAAAACTAACTCCTGAAGCATGCCCTCTGAGCTCCACTCATGAGCAGGCCATGACACACAATCGCCCACACACATGGACACATGTATGGGCACACAGAGAATAAAGTATAGTTAAACAAAAGGAACTTCTAATTCTCTTCCCACATTGAAACCCTTTTGGATGGGAGTAAGAGAATAAGGCTCTAGTAAAATGAGAGAATGAATGTAAAAAGTTTCTTGGAGAAAGTCTCCTCGTATATTTGACAACTTCCAATGATATATGAACTAAGTTCACCTTAGGTAGCTGAATGACCCATCAAATGCCACTTCTCTGAAGATAAAAGGATATCCAATACAATTTACAATCGGAGAGAAGCATCTTGTATGAGGAACATACTACAGACACGAGAAAGGACAAACCCGTGTGGTATATAAATAAGAAGAACCAATATGTGCATATGAAAAAAACAGACAAGTCACAATGGCTTTGGAGCTAGTGCTTTGTCCTAGAACCTAGATTAAAGGTTTAGGGATATATATATTTATATATATATGCCATACACCCTCCTGGAGGAAAACTGTAATTCAGCAATCCACACATTATTTAGAAGAATGAAATCATAGCTAAATCTTTGTCTGCAGAAAGCATGAGACAAAACACTGAGGAAGTTGAACTGCAAAGTCACATGACAGCATGCAAGTGAGCACACTGTAATTTCACCTTAAACTGGCCAGGGTTAAGAATGTACATAGGGAAAAACAGTGTACACGTTATTTGAGGATTTTTTTAAAGCCACCTTCGACCTTGGGATCACAGTATAACTCAAACAAGACAGGAGGATCTCATTGGGCAATTTTAACTAGAAACCTAGCAACTCTTTCAAGTAGTAAAAATGAAGAAGGAAAGCAAAGCTTGTCCCCATCTGGGTACCATGACAACAACAGGTCAGAAGGCAGAGGCCTCAGCACCGGGCAGGGCGACATTTATGTCAGCAATCCGCAACTTTGGGGAGATGGCGGGGGTGCCATCTCCTGCAATGTGAGACTAGTTGGTAAGCCTTATTGAGATCTAACCCTTTAGGACATTTTTCCAATTCAAATTTAAAAAGAGAAAATCTACCACATTAGATTCTGTGGTAAAATGCAATGGTTTTTTTATTCTTTTCAACAAACTGCAATTTTTTAAGGGAAAAAACGAAATAATCAAATACTCACAAAACCCAAGGCTGAAGGAGGGAAACACACAAGGAGGACATGTACAGATTGACCTCAGAGATGGTCAAATAGCCCTTTTCACAGACCCTCCCATTTCAGCCAGAAATTTCCATTTAAACCGACTCTGCTGAAACAGACCACATACAAAGAACTTCTGAGATGAGGAAAATGAAAGCTTCAGGGACAGTGTCACAGTTTTCCCTGCCCAGTAACTCTTCCTTTATGTTCTTCAGTTCACCGGACAAAGACAATGGCCGGGTCCCTGCAGCTGGCTGAGGGAATGCACATCTAAAGAACCACAGAACACTCCATGTTAAATCACATGCTTAACACGGTCTTTTGAAACGCACCCTTCCAACCAAATGAGAAAGGCTTTTAAACAGTGATGGATGTTCCTACTTTATCTCATTAAAATCTAAGTACTCTAAGGTCCTAACCAAATAAAGGGAAGGCATCTCACCCAGGGTAGCTAACCTCAACTCTCATCCAGTCAGCAAGGTGTTACATTGGCTGCACAGTGAGCTTTTACCTCTTTTGTCGACAGTCTTATAGCACTGGAAGGGAGATGGAGGAGGAAGAAAGAGGAGGAGGCCAGTTGGTGGGTACAAAAACAGTCTGTGAGTGCTGGTGAAGTTACCTTACCTAGAAAAAAAAAGAAAAAGAAAAGAATTGGGCAAAATGCCCAAGCTTAATTTCAAACCACAGACTAATTGCTGTACTACAGAATATCATTCTGTAAATATATGCTTCTGAACCAGCTAATACCATGTACAAGGTCTTGGAAACTTAAGCCAGGCAGTGTTGTAATGGACAGCAAAATGTCTACTGATTTCAGAGTAACAGTCTAGAAAAAGCTGTGTCAATAGTTGCTGGGATAATACAACTCAAGCCATCCTTTGAAAATAAAACCAGTCATTAGATTTGCACATCAAATGGTCCTGGAAGCTTGTGTGGCACTAATAAATGGGCCAGAAAGGCCTTAAATCAGAGAAGCAAAGTTAGCAGCACAAAGGGGCTGTCACCTGAAAGAGGACAAGACACAGGAGGGTTGGAAAGCAACAGGGCTTCTCTGGGTGCTACCCCACCCGATTTGCTCAGGCAACAGAATGTAGTTATGCCCTTTGACTGGAAACTAACATGGTGGAGACTTGCCTGACATCAGCAAAATAATAAATGTTGCTTTCAAGTTTATTTGAGGAAGATAAAATGATGACTCTTCCACTCAACTGCTAATCTTGGTTAGCCTGCAGACCCAAGAACCTTCTGGGGAGCCTTCTCTTTTGTATGTTGTGTGTGTGTGTGTGTGTGTGTGTGTGTGTGTGTGTGTGCACTTGCGCGCTCATGTGTTGCATGTGTGAGGAGTCTATGGACCAATGTCAGGTGTCCTTCTCAATCCTTCTTCCATATTGCTTTTAAAGATAGGGTAAATAGATCCATAGACAGACGGACAGACGGATGGATGGATAAATGATAGATATGGATGGAAGGATAGATAGATAGATAGATAGATAGATAGATAGATAGATAGATAGATAGATAATTAGATAGATAGATAGATAGATAGATAGATAGATAGATAGATAGATAGATAGATAGATAGAGATGACAGGTAAATGATAGAAGATGGATGGATGGATGGATAGATAGATAGATAGATAAGATAAAAAAAGACAGTCGTACTTCTTTTATTTCTTATTACCTTTGAGTATTCTAGTCCACAGAAATGTTTTATAACTTAAAATCAAAATCTTGATCATGAATTAGTCAGTCAATCCTGAGGCTTATGAACTTTGAGAATTTGATGTCAATAGTTAATCTCACATTATAGTAATTTTTAAATGCCACCAAAATGTATCCCTTCATTGATATTATCTTTAATTAGTCAAATGTAAGATTTAGAGATTTAAAGATTAGGTAGGAAAGAAGAAGCTTGCTTTCTTCAAAATAAGTAAGTTTTGTCAAAGTTGCTGTGTCTTTAAGTAGTGATATTGGCATTGATCCCAACAATCAGCGATAATTCTATTTTAGAATGTGGTTGCCCGCTGCTATGGTGTAAGTGCTTCTTAAATGGAAAGGTTTTTTGTTTTTTTGTTTTTGGGGGTTTTTGGTTCCATAAGTACATACGCAACACCCACACGGCTCTCTTGGCAACACTCCACTTTGCAAGGTGCTGTATTTGTAGGCAGCGAAGTATCTGAAAGGACGCAGATTGCTTTATTTTTAAAAGCCTATCAATCTTCTAAGTTCTTTTCTCCAAAGGCTTAAAAATAGCATAAATGCACAAAAATGATCCCTCTCCAGTTCACTTTCAGTCACTTTGACTCATGACAATGAAAGAAAGCTCACCTTCCACAGATGACCACTCATAACTCGGTATTCTCTTAGGAAATGGCCTTTCAAAATTTACTTTGTTTACTTTGAGGCCAACATTGTCCTCCACTCCAGTAGGCAAGTACTATCAAAGGATTTGTGTCATAAATGACGATAAGGCGGCAGATCTCCTTAGCCGGCTACTAAAGCCAACTTCTGTTCATGTGTGGGGAATTTCAGGAACTCTCAGCACTGCTTAAAATCTCAGAGGGCTCAAGAAAGATGTGCATGCATGGGCACACATCTTGGAGTACACACAGCACTTTCTTTTTCATTATGTGTGTTGTGTGTGTGTGTGTGTGTGTGTGTGTGTGTGTGTGTGTGTGTGTGTGTGTTGAGACATCACATTGCTGGCCGGTTCTTTACCACTGAGCTACATGCTACATTTCAATCATTCTTACCACTCATACATTTAGTATTAGAAAAGATTATGAAATAGGGCTATTATGTGATAACAGTCACATAGCAATTCGTGCACTATGCAGCCCAGATTCATCACCTTTCCAAGGACAGGAGATGGGTGAGGAAACACAATGCTCCCTTAGTGAAGGTGGATTTATTGTATATTTATTACATAGCATGTCAGTCATGGGTTGGGATTTTCCCATTAGTGGGATGACTGCTTTAGTAACAAGACGTGGGAACTGCCCTTTAGGCTAACCAAAAACACAGATGAAGAGACACACAGATGCATACAAACAGCAGGTGCACACTGAGCAGCATAAAGAGTAACTGAAGCAACAGTCCAATGAAATGGTATTTAGATATAAAGCTAGAGAGATGGCCCAGTGGTTAAGAGGGCTTTCTTCTCTTCCAGGAGATCCATCTTCAGCTCAGCATCCATATCCAGTGACTCACAGCCACTCACAGACTCCAGCTCCCTCTTTTGCCTCCAAGGGTGGGTGGACACATGTTGGACACACACACACACACACACACACACACACACACACACACACACACACACACGTAAAACATAAAGATAAAACCTTCAAGTAAAGAAAGGTGAAGAAACTGACACAGCACTGTGACAAATGACTGCAGTCCTAGCACTTTGGAGGCTGAGGCAAACAAATCCCCAGAAATTTGAGGTCATTCACAGGGCCACCCAGTGAGACCCTGTCATCAAAGGATGGGGTTAGGAGAGGAAGAGAAGGAACAGGAGGAAGAAGAAGAGGAGACAGCAGAGGTGGCTTTAGCACAATGGTTATTGAGAATTGGTCATGGAACCGAAGTGGACAATCAAGCTGGCCTCAGGAAGCAAACCAAGTTCTCTTGTAAGGTTAGGAAGATGCAGTAGGGAGTTAGTATCTGATTAATTCCCAGGAGAAATTAAAAAAAAAAAAAAACTGGGAGGGGAGAAGGCTTGGGAATGTCTTTCATAGGATGGACAAAGAACCAAAGCAGAAAAGCCCATCAACGAGAGGGACAATGTCAGGGCCAGGAACTGCCAGTGACAGGCTCAAGAGGGAGGGACCTGGAGTTTCCCTCGTCTTCTGGGGGGACAGTAAAGTCTTCCCCACAGTTGTCAGAGCAGAGCGCCTAGCAAACAGATCCCTGAATGATGCAACACAGACTCAACACACCTGAGGCAGGCGCCTAAGTTCCAGGGAACATCCTGAGTAAGGGTCCCACAGAGATGACACCAGCCAGATGGTTAACAAAATTATCAAGAAGACAGCTGTGTGTGGCACACATCTGTAATCCCAATGCATGGGAGGTACAGGCAAGAGGATCAAGAGTTCAAGGCCACCTTCAGCTACACAGTGAACTTGAGGCCAGCCTGGTTTATATGAGACCCTGTCTAAAAAAACACAGTGTTTTGTTTTGTTTTTTAAAAAAAGGGAAGGGAAGGGCCAGCTTTTGCCAAAGCCTAGATTTCTGAGTCCTGAGATGTAGCCCTTTGTGCTGATGCTGTTTGGGTACTGATGAAGTCACACGGTCATCCTAGATAATGAAATGACTGCTGTATTCCACAAATGATGCTGAATGGGTGTGAAAGGTGAAGAGTGTCTATGATGCAGCACAGGAAACAGGAAAGCAACTCCGTGTGCTCTGAGCTATGAGCAGGAGATGTGTCACGTCAACAATGAACTAACATAATAACTAACATACATGTGACAGACTTATGGGGAGGCAACAAGGGCTGTCATTCATCAAGAGACATTTGTCAGGGTTCAAAGTTCACCAGTTAGTTCCCTTAAGTCACCATCACACACAGCAAATCTTTTTAACTTGCTCAGTTCACTGAGTCACCCTTCAACAGCCACACCTGAACTGCTAAGTTCCCCAATGTCGCTTGTGGCTGCTGATCATTTAGGATCTGACTGAAGATAGATCCAGGAGTCTCCACAGCTGAGCTTGTGTCATGGGCAATGACCTGGGCAGATATCTCTTACTTTGGGCATATGGAATGAACACATCTCCAAAAACCAACAGTTCATTTCATCCTCTCAGAGACCTTGTCTTTCTTCTCACAGCTCTCATTCTTACGTCATATTTTAGCATTGGTTTTAATGTTGTAGACAGGAACTTTAAAACACTTGACTCACTATTGCAGCTTATATAAATACAGTAAAGCAAAAACTTCAGCGTTGACTCATTAAAATAAAGAATGGGCAATCTAGTTTCCTGTCATTGTCAGCTTTTATTTGCTTCTCCCATAATGCTTCTACAAAGGAGAGCAAATGGGTATTAGCAGTGGCAAACAACCATTCTCTACCCGATCTGAGAGGCTAGGAACCTTGGGAAGTGGTGAAGATCCTGCTGGTTTCCACTGAAAGGAAATAATCAAGGAATTAAAAGCACTGATACAGCTACTTCCTCTAAATCACTACTTATGCCCTCTGCTTCCTGCTCCTTAGTGATAGAAATTTAACTGTTGCCCAAAGGGTGATCAACTGGTAATAAGAAAACACGGGTGACTTAAGCCAGGGGAATCATGCCAGCCATAAACTGGGCAGATAATGCATTACCATGGTAACAAGCTCAGAAACAGACACAGAAGCCAGCTTACAGGCACCATTTTGAAACCAGGGGGTCAAGTGTGTGTGTGTGTGTGTGTGTGTGTGTGTGTGTGTGTGTGTGTGTGTGTGTGTGTTTCACACAGTGCCCTGAGCCAAACTGCCAACCCAGGTGGTGAAGGTGAAGAAGCCAAAGCGGTGACCCTCTAACAATCCAGTCCTGGTGTATTGAAAGATGATTGGCTCCTTCCTGGAAAGACTCTTGGAGGATGATGTCATACAAACACAACCATCCTTGGGAACACCCTG